TAACTCTAAATTCTCATACCTTTCTCGTCGGCCTTATGCCAATGGTCATTGGAAGTTTCAACATCATTATCGGCATGGACTAGTTATCCCCTAACCACGTCGAGATGCTATGCTTCGATAAGGCCCTACATCTACCCTTACCCAATGGAGAATCCTTGATCGTCTTCGGCGACAAGCCTAGTAGAAACCTTAAGATTATCTCGCGCATGAAGGCTAGGAAATACTTCCAGAAAAAGTATTTCACCTTCTTAGCTCATATTGTCGATAAGAAAGACAGTAAGAAGAAAAAGATCGAGGAAGTACCTCAAGTGTGCGAATTCCTTGACATATTCCCTGAAGATCTACCCAGTCTACTGCCAGTTCGTCACATATATTTTAGCACTAATCTGGTCCCAGGAGCTGCCCCAGTAGGAAGTATCCTTATTTATTGGCACCCTCGGAGATGCAAGAGCTCTCCAACCAACTACAAGAAATTCTTGACAAGGGTTTCATCAGACCAAGCTTTTCTCCTTGGAGAGCACCTGCTTTATTTATTAAGAAGAAGGACAAATCTTTTCTAATGTGCATAGTATATAGAGAGCTAAATAAGTTGACCATTAAGAATGGATATCCCCTACCCCGAATAGACGATCTCTTCAATCAATTACAAGGGTTTAGTTACTTCTCTAAGATCAACTTGAGATTAGGAGATCATCAACTTCGAGTCGTGGAAGAGGAAATTACAAAGACTGCGTTCAGAACACGCTACGTTCAATATGAAATCTTGGTCATGCCTTTTGGATTGACCAATGCCCCGGCTGTCTTTATGGATCTTATGAATCGAGTGCGTAAACCCCACTTGCATAAATTTGTGATTGTATTCATCGATGATATTATTGGTCATGTGGTGAGTAGTAAAGGAATTCATGTCGACCCTTCTAAGATAGATGTGGTCAAGAATTAGGAAGCGCCAAAGACGCCAACGAAAGTGCGTCAATTTCTAGTAATGGCCGTCTACTACCAAAAGATGAAGGACATGTTGTGTAGTGAACTGCTACTATCTCTTCCAAAAGGCAATGATGACTTCATAGTATAATGTGATGCATTAGACCAAGGAATGGAAGGTCATAGCCTACGCCTCAAGACAACTTAAGGTCTATGAAAACAACTAGACCACCCATGACCTAGAGTTGGGAGCGGTAGTTTTTGCCCTGAATATATGGCGTCATTACCTCTACAGAACAAAGTGTGTGGTATACACAGAACACAAGATTCTGCAACATATCTTCAATCAGAAAGAACTTAATATGAGGCAGAGAAGATGGTTGGAATTGCTAAACGACTATGATTGTGAAATTCGCTACCAACCAGGAAATGCTAATGTCGTAGCTGACGCTTTGAGCCGTAAGGAACGAGTAAAACCTCATAGAGTGAAAGCACTTAAAATGACTATTCAATCAAATCTAATCTCCCATATTAGAAATGATTAGATCGAGGCTTTAGCGGAAGGAAACGTTAAAGAATAAAGCCTTCGCGGTATGGAAAGACAGCTCGAAGTAAATAAAGATGGAATGAGATATTTCATGAACCGAGTATGGGTTCTGAAATACAAAGGAGTTAAGGAACTAGTCATAGATGAAGCTCATAAGACTAGGTATTCCATTCATCCAGGAGCATACAAGATGTATCAGGACCTAAAGGCCCGTTATTGGTCGCCGAACATGAAGGCTGAGATTGCGACCTACGTTATCAAATTCCTAAAATGTTCGAAGGTCAAGGCATAACCTTGTAACAACCGGTTAATTCGGTTCAATAAAAGCCAAACTAGTCAAACCAAAAGTCAATTATACCGACAAAAGTCAAATAGTTATAATTAAATCATAAAAATTCACTTTGCTTTAGGGTTTTCGGTTTTGGGAATCAAAACTCATGCCTAGACCGAAATCTCTTTTCGGCCGAAATAAATCAAGGTCGAGAACTCATGCTAGACCGAGAACCCACTAGACTGAATACCTTGGTTCTCGGTTGGAGCTTAGACCGAAATGATGGAGTTTTCGGTGAGGATAAGCCGAAATCATCAAATTTAAACGGTGGCACTTTTTCCAATGTGATAAATTACACAATCCAATGCAAATGTCACATCACTTTTACCCCATATATATATATATATATATATATAGATATATATATATAGAATATATATATAGATATATATAGATATATATATTATATATATATATATATATATATATAATATAATATATATAGATATATATATTGGCCGAAATCACCTTCATAATTCCCATTTCAATCTTCAAATCCTTTATACTTTTCTCTCAAAACTCATACGAACAACTTCATATCTTCATATAATCTTCAAATCTTCAAACAGTTTACCCAGAAACATATTCAAACTTCTCAGGAAATCTAGCTCTTCAATTGATTCTTAGGAAACTTTGTAAGTATTACTTATATAATATAGTGTTTTTATAAACACTTTCACATTAGTTCAATGAATTTATACACGTTATCATGTGTTAAAGACTATTAGGATCCGACTATCATCAAGTGTTCTAACTCGAGAATCATCCCTATCACTTCATTATCCAGCCAAGAACACACTCGAGGTGAGTTCATACCCCTATAGTTTTCACTATTTTTCTATGTTTTAGGGGGGTGGGGGGAATACAAGTAAAATGCAAGAAAAAAGTGTTAATATTCAACCGTTATATATATATATATATATATATATATAGATATATATATATATATATATATATATATATATATATATATATATATCTATATATATAGATATATTATATGGGTACAAATATCATTACAATGATAAACTTTATAAATATAGTTTATAAAACTATAACACTTTTTGTAACAAGTTGAGCAAAAAGGGTATAATTATATAAACATACATATATAATTATTCCATTTCATTTTATTATCATGGTAAATTGATAATAGCATACAAAGGATTTATTATTTCAATGAGACATTTATATAAACTATAAACACTATAAAAGGATGATACATACATTTACAAGAAAAGGAGTTTTTCATTACAGTACACGTAAACCGTCAATACAGTTTTGTGAGACATATCTTCACCGTACTTACCAAAGTACATACTAAAGTTCCTGTATTATAACCAGAATCTCCCGTAAGAGAGCGTGACACTTGTGTACAGATCTATACGGGACTGACAATCCCGCACCTAAACTGTTAGCTACAGTTAGACCGGCAGGTCTGGGGTGACAATTGTCGTACTATTCTGACGGCTGAAAAACGTCGTACAGGCCATCTAGGTCATTAGCATGGTTATAATAACTCACAAGGGGTATTAACAATACGTTTGGTTTACGAATACATACATACCTTCAAATGGTTTTATTTAGATAAAGCTACATTACACTATTTTCCAATAAAATACAGTTTACATTTATGGAAACATGCATTCAAATGGTTTTATATACGAATAAAACTACACATTACTATTTTAAGTATGGAAAATACTTGTACGTTTCGGTCTTGGAACATTTAAGACTATAACTCATTTCTAAAGAAAATATTGGATTTTCTGGAAGAACACACTATCATTTTCAAGGAACAAATTCTCATTCAAAATACTTATGAACTCACCAACTTAAATGTTGACACTTTTTCAAAACCACTTGTATTCTCAGGAATCAGTAGACAGGTATCCATACAGGTTTTGTGAAGATGGAGTGTAGCAGTGTTGCGTCTTATATTTTTGTCATATGTTTTTGGAGTCAAACAAACAATTATTCAAACTCAATGTAAACATTAAATTATCAATATGATGGTTGTAATGCTTTGATCACTATTATTCAATTGTTATGATAGTGTACATGAAAGTCATCCACCCCAGACGTTTCCGCCGTTCTGGTTTGGGGGTGGGATAAATTGGTATCAGAGCATTGTTTATAGTGAACTAAGTATATCAAACCATGTAAGATACACAACTATAAATATAATGGGGCTAAAACTCTCTGACTAAAAGTATACTTTTAAAATATAAGTATTTTTATAAAAGTATACATATCTACATGTATACTAGAACAGTGTCGTAATAAGAACCATATAAAAGTATTTAGATAAGTTGGACGCTGCGGTTAAGCCTACATAGTAGGGATGAGCATCGGAAGCGGGTACCTGCTTTCGGAACCGAAACCGGCTCAGAACTACCTGTTCCGGTTCCAGTTCCAAAAGGCTAGGAACTGCCTTAAGCGATTACGGTTCCAATTCTTATTTTTATGAAACCGATACCCGCTGGATACCCGCCGGTTACGGTTCCAATACCGGGTACCCGGAACCGGTACCGACGGGTACCCGTCTTTTTCTTTAAAAAATATATAGATATTAAAATTTTATATTTTGTTAATTATGTTTTTAAAAAATAGGGAAATGTAACTTATACCTGGTTTCCTTACCTTAGTCGTTTTTAGGGTTCATTCTTACAAAAAAAAACACGCCGACACCATAGCCTCTCTTTTTCTCGTCACTCTCCCTTCTCAAACCAGTCATCGTTTGTTCAATCGAAGCTACAATCGCTCCCGTTACTGATCGTTTTGTTCAATCGAAGGTTCAATCAGTAGGCTCAATCGATCGTTTTATTCCCGTTACCGATCGTTCGTTCAACCGATCGTTCAATCAGTAAGCTTCAATCGAAACTCGTTGTTGCCAACACCGAGTGATCTAACATGTATTGAGTTATTTTCCTTCTAGATTTCAATTTTTTCCATCCCTAATTTTATATATTACTCTTTTACCCAAAATCCTTTTTTAGTTGTGATCATTGTTGTTGAGTTTGACATTTGGGGAAAATTTTTAGTTGTTGAATTTCACTTTTGGGGTTTTGCAGATTGGGGTTACGAAATGGCCATACACTCGGTTGAACTGAACTAGAGCCAAACGGGGCTCCGTTATTTTTATTTTTCTTTTCTTTTTTCAAACGTTGATACATCGATTTTCGTTCACAGGTTGATATGTTCAATGTCCATCTGTCTTCCTCACGAATCCAAGTATGTTTTATATTCAATAGTCAATTTTATGTTGTTTTTTTTTAAATTTTATGAACAGATATTGAGTTTTGTTGAAGTGACCCATCAAGAAACACCAACTGATCATCTTCATTTTAATTTTTGTTACTCAGCTGGGTGGAAGGAATACCGTGTTAGAATTTGGATTCGGTAAGTACATCAACCTCAAATAATTTTCAACTCATTTCAATGTCCCAATATGCAAATGCATACATATTACATACTAACACACCCTTCTGCTTCCTTATCTGCAGTACGCATTAGGTTGCTTTATATTCAATTAACTTAAGTAACCCATTGGCATTTTTCCTAACAGTTATCTATATCTTTATGATCAAACTTTTAATAATACCACTTAATGTTTTTTTGTTTTTCCAGGATGGAAAGATTGAAGCTGAAGTTAAACTTACTGGAATTTTGAGCTTAGGAGCATTACAGCCAGGAGAAGTTAGAAAATATGGCACTACAATTGCACCAGGAGTATATGCACCAGTTCACCAACATTTTTTTGTTGCTAGAATGGATATGACAGTTGATTCTAAGCCTGAAGAAGCATACAAAATAGATGACGAATCAAACTTTTTTTATCTAGTATAACAAATTACATTGTTTACATATATGATATTATATGATACACGTTTCTTTGGTCGGTTGTTGAAGTTGATGTTAAAGTTGAAGAACTAGGAAAAGACAATGTTTATAGTTTGTTACTCTTGCTGTTTTTTCTGTTACTTTTGCCTGTTTTTATTATTGATGCTTTTGCTTTTATGAATTACAATTTTAGTCTCCGGTTGCTATTTTATAGTTTGTTGTTTGTTGTTGGCACTTGCTATTGTGTTATTTAAAAGTGGGGAATGTTTTTAATAGCTTGTTATTTAAAAGATCATATTTTTGTAAATGTTTTGGCATGTATAAAATAACAAGTTTTAATATTCAAGAAGCTGAGTACCCGAAACTGGAAGCGGTTCCGGCGGTTCCGGGAGCGGTTCCGATTTTCTAGGAACCGATGTAGGGGGTTCCGGTTCCAATTCCAAAAACTTAAGAACCGCTGGTTCCGGGAGCGGTTCCGCTTCCGACTAAAATATGCGGGTACCCAGTTATGGTCATCCCTACTACATAGTTATGTAATCATATCTGGGATAAATATAGCCTGATCAACTATATTTATGCGACTTATGACTAACATGTGTTTGGGAATGATCGTGGTGAACAACGAGTCTAAAACTTACCAACACCCCATACAAGGAAACTCTAGAACCAAACATAAAGTTTAAAATACTATAGGAGTATTTTATGATACTATAAGACTACACAATTAGGCCATTTATGTGTATTTCATACCATTATTCTTATACAATCAACATAGACAAGCCTATAGTTAAGATGTTCTAATTCGAAAACATCTTTAAACCTTATGGCAGAAAGATGCCACCATGTAAATCTATCAGGTGTGTCAATAACACAACACCAACTCCACCACCGCCACCACCTCCACGGATGGACACTGCCGTTTTCCAAGCTGCTGTAACAGCCGATATGGCAGCTGCCATGGCACAAATCAGCAGAAATTGTGCCATTGGGTCTGGAGGCGGTACCAATAATATTAACCAGGGAGACAGCTAGCGATAGCCAAGAGAATGTTCCTACAAAGACTTCACAAATGACAAATTAAACTCTTTCGATGGCACCCGAGGTGTCATTGCTCTAACAAGGTGATTTGAGAAAACAGAGTCAGTGTTCGAAATCTGTGCATGCCCAGAGGCTAGCAAGGTCAGCCTGCACATTCATGGATAGAACGCTCTCTTAGTGGAATGGTTATGTCAAATCGCTAACTCCCCTAGTGGCCAACGCCATTAGTTGGGAAGACTTGAAATTCTGATGCTAGCAGAATACTACCCGAGGAGCGAGGTGCAAAAGCTAGAGCAAGAGCTCTGGAATCTTACAATGAAGGACTCTGACATCGCAACCTACACTGCCTGGTTTAGCGATCTAGCAGTATTATGTCCCGGTATGGTCACCCCGTAAAGTAAAAAGGTGGAGTGATACATCTGGGGATTATCCCCCCAGATTCAAGGAAATGTGATATCAGCAAACCCATCCACTTTTGACAGTACCAAACGCTTGGCACAAACACTTGTGGATCATGGAGTCTGCCAGGGCTTTATGACAGCCATTCCCGAGCAAGAAAAAGGGAGTGGCAATAAGAGGAAGTTTTGGAACAAGAGGAAGGGCCAACCGACACAAGAGCCCACAAAGAAACAACAAACGGTGGCAGTCCATGCTGCTACTGTTCCTACCGCTCCAACAACCGCCAAACAATATGCTGGAACTCTCCCAAAATGCAACAAGTGAAACTTTCATCATTATGGAGCCTGTAGAGAGATGCACTGCAATAATTGCAACAAGAAGGGGCATATTGACTGCTTCTGTAAGGCACCAGCACAACAAACCACCCAAGCCGCTACTGTCGGAGTGAGCCAGGCTTGCTATGGATGTGGAGAAACATGGAATTTCAAGAGAGATTATCCAAAAGCAAGGAATGTTGGAGGCGTGGTAAGAGTTCTAACAATCGGGCATGAGGAGGCTATGAATGATCCTACCGTGGTTACCGATACGTTCCTCCTCAATAATTCATATGCATGCATACTTTTCGATAATGGTGCGGAGAAAAGTTTCGTGAGCCAAAAGTGTAAACAATTACTTAAACAAAATCCCCAATCACTAAATAACATATTCACGTAGAAATGGAAAATGGAAAGGCTGAGAGTACTAATGATATATACATAGGATGTACCCTCACTCTAAACAACTATTCTTTCCAAATCGACCTAATGTCGGTCACAATAAAACGTTTTCTCGTCATCATTGGCATGGATTGGTTAAGTCCTCACCATGCTGATATCATGTGTTACAAAAAAGCCATTCACCTTAATTTGCTATGTAGCAAAACCCTCGTCATTTATGGCGCCAAACCCGACACGAACCTACAAATCATCTCTTACGTCAAGGCTTAAAAGTATCTACGCAAAGAATATTGCGCTTTCTTAGATCACGTAGTGGATAAGAAACAAGAGTTAAAAGACATCAAGGATATTCCCAAATTCTGTAACTTCCCCGACATATTTCCTGAAGATCTCCCAGGAGTACCTCTCGAACGCCAAGTCGAGTTCAGAATCGACTTGATTCCTAGAGCCATCCCCGTAGCCAAATCTCCATACCGCTTAGCAGCAGCAGAAATGCAGGAATTGTCCAGTCCATTGAACGAACTGCTAAGCAATGGATTCATCAGACCAAGCTTCTCGCCTTGGGGGAGCACCGGTCTTGTTCGTGAAGAATAAGGATGGATCATTCCACATGTGCATAGACTACCGAGAACTAAATAAACTCACCATCAAAAATCGATATCCTTTACCTCGAATCGACGGCCTCTTCTACCAACTACAAGGATCAAGTTACTTCTCAAAGATACACATAAGATCCGGATACCATCAGCTGCGAGTCTACGAGGAAGATGTTCCCAAGACTGCATTCAGAACTCGCTACGGTCACTATGAATTCATACTAACGCCCTTCGGATTAACAAATGCACCCACAGAGTTCATGGACCTGATGAACTGTATATGCCGACCTTACTTAGAAAATTTTGTGATAGTATTCATCGATGACATACTAGTCTACTCATGAAGTAAGGAAGAACACAGATTAAGAATCATGAGGTCAACTACACCACACACGACCTCGAGCTGGGAGCAGTATTATTTACTCTGAAGATCTGGAGGCACTACCTTTATGGTACAAAGTGCACAATCTTCACAGACCATAAGAGTCTCCAGCACATCTTCGATCAAAAGGAACTCAACATGAGGCAACGACGATGGGTAGAACTACTAAATGATTACAAATGCGAGATTCGCTATCATCCAGGAAAGGCCAATGTAGTAGCAGATGTCCTTAGTCGAAAATAGTACTCGGGTCGCCGAGTAAAATCATTAACCATGACCATCCATTCACACCTATCCACACATATCAAAGAGGCTCAGCTGGAAGCCTTAAAACCCGAGAATGTGGCTGGTGAAGCCTTAAGAGGAATGGATAAAAAAATGGAAGTTAAGGGTGACAGGGTTCATTTAACGAAGGAGGTGGACTTCAACCAAGTCAGCCTTTCTTATGAAGTGGCTATGGCTATTTCCAAAGGAAAATAAAAAGCCACGGTGCTCATATTTGGCTGCTAAGTACCTCTCCAATGGAAAAAATGGATTGACCAACCCACCTCTTAAATATCCTGCATCTAGAAAGGTCTTATTTGATACAGAAAGACTTTCAGGCAGAACTTGGGCTAGACTTTGGTTGGGCAATGGTAAGCTGATTCGTTTCTGGGATGATGTGTGGCATGCTCATGAATCGGATCTGGACACCAAAGTTTGGTGGGTACATAGACGTTGTCATGAATGGAACTCATAAGAGCAGATACTCCGTTCATCCCAGTTCAAAAAAGATGTACCTGGACCTCAAGAAACTTTATTGGTGGCCAAAAATGAAGGCAGAAATCGCTACCTATGTGGGCAAGTGCCTGACTTGCGCCAAGGTCAAGGTAGAATACCAGAAGCCCTCGGGTTTACTACAACAACCAGATGTACCCGAGTGGAAGTGGGAGCAGATAACCATGGATTTCATAACCAAGTTGCCTAAGATAATGGGTGGTCTTGACACCATTTGGGTGATCGTTAACAGGTTAACCAAATCCACGCACTTCCTACCAATAAAAGAGACCGACAAGATGGAGAAGCTATCCAGGATGTACATTAAAGAGATCGTATGATTACATGGCGTGCCAATATCCATTATCTTTGTTAGAGATAGTAGATTTACCTCACGGTTTTGGCAATCACTACAAAAGTCCTTAGGAACGAAACTCGGGATGAGTGCAGCGTACCATCCCCAGGCTGATGGTCAAAGCGAGAGAACCATTTAGACGCTGGAAGACATGTTGAGAGCTTGTGTGATAGATTTTGGTAAATATTGGGATACCTATTTACCACTCGTCGAGTTCTCATACAACAATAGTTATCACACTAGCATCAAATTGACCGCGTTCTGTTAAAGGTCTCACCCTGGAAGGGAATGATACGTTTTGGAAAATGTGGAAAACTAAATCCAAGGTACATCGGACCATTTGAGATTCTTGCTAGAATTTGCCCGGTGGCTTACAAACTTCAACTACCGCAGGTATTCAGCAACATACACCCCACTTTTCACGTGTCCAATGTGAAGAAGTGTCTGTCCCACGAGACTCTTGTAATCCCACTTGGTGAAATCGAGATACACGAGAGTGTACACTTCGTAGAGGAACCTGTGGAAATCATGGACATGGAGATCAAGGGAACGAAACAAAGCCGTATACCAATAGTAAAGGTCCGCTGGAACGCCAAGCGAGGACCTGAATTCACTTGGGAACAAGAAGATCAGATGAAACAAAAATACCCACTTATTTTCCCGAGTTCATGAGTACCCACTTTAGAAATAATTTTGGGACGCTATTCCCTCTAACAGAGGGATAATGTAACAACCGGTTATTTCGGGTCAATAAAAGTGAAACA